CGTATAGCACCATCTGGGCGCGAAAAGCGGCCACGTGGTCTGCTGGGTCGACGGCGCCGTCATACGTGTCCAGCGAGGGGAGGCGGAAATGTGATGGGATCGCCTGGTCTTGGATCTCGGGGGTGAACGGGGATCCTTGCAGCCCGTCCGTCCCGAGCTCTCCTTTCGACTTACGGACTTCCTGTTGTACCTCGTCGAGTCTTTGACTGACGAGGGGTAGCTGGGCTCGTAGGGCATTCGTGGTCTGCTGGGTCGACGGCGCCGTCATACGTGTCCAACGAGGGGAGGCGGAAATGTGATGGGATCGCCTGGTCTTGGATCTCGGGGGTGAACGGGGATCCTTGCTGCCCGTCCGTCCCGAGCTCTCCTTTCGACTTACGGACTTCCTGTTGTACCTCGTCGAGTCTTTGACTTACGAGGCGTAGCTGGGCTCGTAGGGCATTCGTGGAGTCGGCAGACGGTGCCTCGCGCCCGTGGCGGCTCGCCGTGTCTTCTGCCTCCCGGCTCCCGGGCCGAGTTATCAGGTTCCGAGGCGAGCCAAGGAGCCCGGAGAGGGGTATGTGAGTGCGGTCGTGGGTTTCCTGCTGCTGTGAAGGGTGAGCCTCGTGCGGAGTGGTTCGCTGCGAGACAATCGGGATGATGGTCTGCACCATGCTCGTCAGGGCTCGGACTTGATGAGCGAGGTCGTGAAAGGCCTCGGGAGACACCGGCGATGGGCCAGCGGGTGCGCCGTCTGGGGGTGACAAGCCTGGGTCATTGAACAATTGCCAGTATCGTTCTGACGCCGCTGCAGGGCACTCGTCACGAGTTTCATTGTGGGGGGGGTGTTCCCCCTGGGTGGGGAGCCCAACAGCTGGGGGCTCGTCAAAGTGGATTCGCTGATCGCTTGCCATTCGGAGGCCCTCCTTCTAGCGCCAATCTGTTACAGCAAGTAACTTTTTTAGCCGTTACCTCGGGGTCGGCACGGTTGGTTCGAGGGTCCGAGCGGCCAGGATCAGGTGAAGCTCTTCTCGGGATCCCTGGGGTGAACGGTCACGGGGAATCGGGCTGATGTGCTCCGAGTCGTCGGGTCGGGTCGGCTTCGGTCGAGTACCTGCACACTGGTCGGGTCGGTGATTCGGCCCGACCCCTCCGACGATCAAGTTAGAAATGAAGAGGGGATTCTTAGGTGGAATCGTGTGTTTGTCCGCTTACCCTGCCTGCTTGGAGCCCGAGGGTATTTATAGGTGAGCTCGATGTTACCTGACGCGCCATCCTGCCGGGGCAGGGCCGTACCCCTGAACGCGTCCGTTGCCGTTGTGGGCATTGCGCGGTAAGGCCGAGTCGCCGTGGGGTATGGCATGTCCTTGTTCGACGCCTTTTCCTGCCCTGTCCGGTCGTGCGGGGTTAGCATGATGAGGTCGGCCGGGTACGGTCGGTGAGGGTGCACGTTACGCTGGTATTAATGCTCGTCTCTTGGCGCGGTGTGCCGTTTGGGGGTGGCTGACATGGGGCGGTGTTACGTCAAATCCGGTGTGTCATGCCTTATTTGTTTTTACCCCTATCAATAATGATAAGGTATCATGAGCTTAACTTGCTATTTACAATTGATACCATGCCTTAAAATGATGAATTGTCATCTTTTATCGAGAATTGTCATCTTGCTAAATTTTATATTCGAAACTCATATCATATTTGAAAATGATGATTGTTTATCATCATTGGACTTGAAAATGGATGTCATGCATTGATATCATTTTTATTGATAAATACGTGATATCGTATTTTGAATTAGAAAATCATGATAAGTATCATGATGTACATGTTGATAAGTTTAAATGAAAATAACTTATCGGTTTGATGCTTGAATTCAAAGGCCTTGAATTCAAGAATGTTTTTTCTCAAGCATAGCATATAGATAGGGGGAGTTAAGGTTAACTTCATCATCAATTGATTATCATCATCCAAAAGGGGGAGATTCTTGAATTTGGAATTTTGATGATGAAATCAATTGGTAAATTATTTGATCTAATCTATATGTTGAGAAAAGTGTACAGGATTAACTATGATAGCGGTAAGACATAAAATAAATGTTATGCCGGAGTTAAGATCGAGATTTCGTTGGGAGTTCAAGAGTTCATCGGAAGTTCCACCGGAATTAACCGAGAAGTCCAGGAGCTTGCCAAAGAAGCTCGTCAGAACTCGCTAAGAAGATTGTCGTGAAGTCTAGGAGTTTACCGAAAGTCTGTCGGAACATTGCCGAGAGATCTTCGGAAGTTCGCTGAAAGCTCACCGAAAGAACAATTAACGAACCGGAACAAGAATGCTTTGTTAAATGTCTTAATTATTATAGTTAGACCTTAAGTTGAGTTAAGATTGGGAGGTAATCCCACTAACTCAGTTATGAGCCAATTGAAGTCACGGTCGGATTGAACAGGATTAAATTAGGTCGGATTGAACAGCCCATTCTGCACTTGAAGTCACGGTCGCCGCCTTGGACTTGGTCTCCCAAGTGTTCTGAGCGGTGGTACCGTCAACAGTTATTACTTGCCAGTAGTGGTATCACCTGTCAGGCGGTGGTACTGCCAGAGCTCAATATTCGAGAGCTATGTCAAGCGATGGTACCACCAGACTTGGTGGTGGTACCGCTCAGTGTTAGAGAGTCAGGCGATGGTACCGCCCAATAATGGCGGTGGTACTGCCAGTACCCCGAAATATAGGGATGTGATACTTTTTGGCTCCAATTCTGAAGCCACTAATATCTATAAATATCCCACCCTTTTCTGAACGGAAAGATAATAAAAGTGCAATCAAAAGTGTGAAAAATCTTAAATGTTGGTGTTAAAAGTGTTTTAAAAGTGAGAAGAGTCCTCCGAGGTTGGCCTAAGTCAATTGTACCACATCCGCACTGGGCCTTAGAGAGTTGTAGGGAATGCTCGCACATTCGAGCATCCAAAGTGTCGTATAAGGCCATCTGGGCTCGAAATACTGCAACATGTTCCATTGGGTCGGAGCTACTATTGTAGGTTTTAAGCGTAGGAAGACGAAAGCTTTGCGGGATGAGCTTGTCCTGGACCTCCTGTACAAAGGGTGACCCTCTCGGGAGAACCTCGTCGAGCTCTTCCTTGGATTTGTGGAACTCCCTTTGGACTTCATCAAGATGCCAATTGACCGAGCGCAACTGAGCCCGGAGAGAGTCCGCCAAGTCATATGATAATGTGTCGGGGTCGAGAATGCTATGCTTGGGTATCAGCCTCGGGTTCTCCGAAACCTTCTCGGGTGATGGGGTAATGTTCACCGCAATGGGCTGTTGAGGGGCCGATGGTGATGGGGGACTAGGAGCTAGCGGTTGCCATTGCAGTGGCTGAGGCATCGCCGACTGTTGGGCTAGCTGAGGGACTAAAAGGATGATGGTCTACATCATCCCTACTAAAGCTTGGACCTGGTGAGTGAGGCTAAGGAATGCCTCAGTTGAGATGGGAGGTTGCCCCATGCTGGTCTCGGGAGGCGACAACCCAAGATCATTGAATGTGGGGATGCGGTTAAGGTGTTTCTTTCTAGGCTCGGAGGGAGCGGGGTTGCCCTCCGAACCCGAAGGTCGGGTGTGGCTCTTCTATGGGATGCTCCTCTGGGTTGTTCGGCTGAGGGCGTTCTTACGACATCGGGCCCTCCTTCTAGTGCCAAAATGTTGGTGAACCTTTTATGCTATGGCCGAGGAGTCAGCATGGCTTGGTCCGATCCTGAATGTGCAAGGTCGCTCACGCAAAGAATCAGGAGGCTGGATTGGGCGTCCGATCGGGTTGAGCTATGAGCTAAGAGTCTTGTTGTTGGTTTCTTCGTCGCCGGCCCCTACACATAGGTCAAGCTCGGGTGGGGGATTTCCCGACTCGACCCCTCCGAAACTCAAGTTAGTATTGAGTAGAATGAGAGTGAGTTGAGTGGACCGAAAAAAAGTCCCCAGGTGGTGGGTTTTTATACCTACACACGAGGATCGATCGTACCCCGTATGTTAATGATTGTTGACCCCTTTAAGCGGTCGGCTCATGCCTCTATGCACGGACGACGGTCGACTTGTATGGATCGGCGCCGAGTGACACTGTCCTGAGCATTCTGGGATGGCTCTATACCCGACGACGTCGTTCTGCAGACGACGGTCGACCTGCACAGATCATCGCCAAGCGGCACCGTCCCAAGCATTCCAGGGCGGCTTTGTACCTGACGGCATCATTCCGAACCTTCCAGGACAGCTTCGTACCCGACGACACCGCTTGCACGGCCTTATACAAGCTAAGAGGATGGTCGCATTGTTTGAGTCGCTGACGTGGTCCGTCACATCGTCTTTTAAGTTTCACATGGTGCTATCGTGGCTGTGGTATGCTATCAAAGGGCGTGCTGCCAAATTGTACCCTATCACTACCTATCTCTCGAAACCATAGAGTGTTGGTATCAAAATAATTAAGGATAAATCTGACTTTTGTGATGGGGATCCAGAACCCGACAATTCGTGTGCCCTAAATCTTACTTCAACGCCCTCAGGGGTCGGCACCGGAGGCGAGCGACACCAAGAGGAGTCGCCACAAGAGCTTTCCGACGCCGGAGGAACGAGGCGGGGATGGTGACGGTAGTGGTTCAAGGATACCGCGGCTGTCATTGCTATCTATCTCCGGTAGCGTCGGGGGCCGACGAAGACTGGCGCGCTCTCTCCGGTCTGGTCTGGACCGTTGTTGGGGGAGCATCAAGCGGCTGGCTTGATTATAATGGATCTGAACCGTCCTATCATGATTGTTCGGTGAATGTACGATGGAACGGGCACCGTCTCCATCGAGTGAAAAAATACATAAAACGAATGGAAGCATGAGGGGTCTTGCGTTGCATGGAACTCTGGCTATCAACATATGGAGCTCAAGCATGCCTTTACCTTAACATGATATGGAGTTCTTTAAATGCACTCTAATGCAAATTTGACATCATCACCTTTTGTATGTAATCAACTGTTACAACAGAATCAGTAATAATAAACAGGAAGAATGTAATAATTCATGTGCAAAAGCTGAAAAGTGGCCATATAATGGAAATAGAAGTGGGTAAAAAAAATCTAATATAAGGACTTGCTTATCTGCTATCCTGAATGATTGAACATCTGCAGCCCCTATTTGCCGAGTAACCGGCGAGTGCGTCGGTTGGCTCCTTTCACTCGGGAATTCAGCTCTTCCACATCATCATGCAAGGCAGGCAACCAGAGCCTTGTTTTGCCTGCCAAGAAGCAAGGAGATTCCATTTACCAAAAAGATAGATAGAGCAACAGATAAAACAAGTTACATGGGCCATTCAAGAGGCAGGAACCATGAATCCATGAACTCAGGGTAAACGAGAGAATTAGATAGCATAACACCAGACTCTTTCTAGTTATTTTTTTAAACTTTAATAAGATCAGATAAAGACATCCAAAAGCTCATGGAAAAGGGCAGGTGCAATGGCACAGGACTACGAAATTAGGAAGCGGCAAAAAGTATGATGTAATATATCATACATTTCTCTTATTTGACCAACAACCTTCCATTGACATATTGTTCCATAGAACTGAATGACCCCAGAAAAAATAATTATATTTAATTTTTTTCACCAACATTTACATGGACTACTAAATGAATCAAGAGATGAAAATAAAAGATGACAAAGCTACAATAATCACTGAAAAGTAAAAAAGGCCATGACCACTCTGCTTTTTCTTCGTCAAAATTTGTTAGGTTTGTCCATGGTTGGTTCTCATGCAACATTTGAGATTTTTCTTATAAAGCAAAATTTCCTCATTTTAAACTTATTTGTATGCCGTGCAGATGCATTCATTTAGGAATCAAACATCCAAATTTTGCTCATTTTTCTTTCTTTCTTTATTTTATAATGATACATATAATGAATGCTATACTAAAGCAAGGATGCGGAAACTACAGTCTGAACTGCAACACCAAAGTTGGAAAACTCTAAAATTTCAAATGAGTCTGCTGTCAATGACCCAAATTCTCCCACTAATGGCCAACCACTGACCTTCAACCAATTTTCAAGGTAAAAAGAGTAGGTAGGTATAAGAAGAAGAAAGAGAGAGAGAGAGAGAGAGGGTCAAATAAAATAGTTTCTTTTCTTTACATGATATTTATTTATTTATGCAAAAATGTATCATGTTGTTGTATAAAAAGTTGTATATGGAACAAGAAAAATGGTTACAGATGCATAATTTTATAGCCACTTTAAAAAGATGGCAAAGCTCTAATCACCAGTAATGGCGGCACATTGATACAGTACCAAATACCAGTAGGGGTAAAGCTGACAACCTCCTAATATGATGAACAATCTAAGTTTTTCTTTCCAACAATTTCCAGGATAAATTTGTCAATATTGATGTTAATGCAAACTCAGTGGCTCATATAACCATTGCTAAAGATTCTTATTTTAGACTGACTTGTAATGTATCTATCTAAAAATATCTATAGATCACACTGGCCTTATGTCTTGATCAAGAGATCTCTGTACCATCTTTAAGGAAACAAGAAATCCATTGTTCATTAAAAAAAAAAAATCAAAATCCATTGTTTTTGCCACAAAACAATATTAAAGTATCAAAAATTCTTTTGTTACATCTCAGTGAGGGGAGAAATATTCAAATTATGTTGATTGCGGAGCACAACTAAGAAAACGCTATGGCAGATTTTGAGCAACATCTTCTATAAATTTTCATGAAAACATCAATGCCCCCACTAACCATATACCATTTTTTAGTTTCAGCAAATTCATATGCACAAGAATAGATAAAAAGAAATAGAGAGAGAGAGAGAGAGAGAGAGAGAGAGAGAGAGAGATGTGATAAAACGTTCAAAAATAGAAAAAGAATATCTCACCTGTCCATCTCTGTACTCATGTCAAGGGCCATGCCTTTCAGCTGCCCCAAGACATCACTAAAGTCTGAAAGGGTGTCATCTTGTTTTGCCTTCTCAATCTACGAGAAAGTCAAATGTATCCACAAGTAAGTGGTCCTCATATTTGTCATTTTAAACTCATAAAAACACAAAACTGGACTTTTGTACATAGCAGATGTGGGTTCAGAATAATGCCGTGGATTTGACTTTTCTCTTTGATCCATGTGGTTTGCCTTTCTTTCATAGGAATCATCAAGTATAGGAGTGCCAAATCAAGCACAGATGTCAACCAACATCAGAAAGTGTTACTAATTCATGTATATGTTGTACATACCTGTTGTAAAAACTGGGCCCTTTATCTGGTGAGTTTTCTTTGGCTTCCCAAAAGTTTCTCACCCTGCAAGGAAAGCATGTCAGGGAAGGGAAGCTACACCTGAAAACAGGAAAACGAAACATCAACATTATCACAAATAACAACATGCAAATGAAATACATAACAAGCCAAGCCAGGTTGTTGTAGTTACTCTGGATTTTTATGTGGATCCTAATCGACTATCTATCATAGTTTACAGGTGAAGGACCGACCACGAGACTAATTTGGACAATGTCATAATAGTTAAAGTATTTTTAGTACAAAACACCTGTTGTTAGTTGGCTGAAAAAGAGAGAAAGATGATGGATACTTCCGATTCCCTGGCAAACCGATGCAAGAAATCCAGGGAAAAGTGTATTAGGAAGAAATGGAATCAAGGAAGCTCAAAGTCAGAACTCACAAGTAGATTGCGGAAGTTTTCTTGCATCGACTGGATTACATGGAGCCTCAATAATGTTTAATCTGAATTCTCAAATAAGCTACCATCGCCTTCAGGTGTGGTGGCTATTTTTGGATGGTGAGGATAATAAAGTAATGGACCCGATTCAACTTCAAATCTTAAAAATACATTGATGGGATATGTGGAAACCTGTCTTATCGAAGGATCTTCTTTTAAGGCAAGTTAAGTAAAAAAAACATTATTGTCTTATAAACTGAAAAAGGTTGCTGCATGGAACGATAGATACTAACCCAATGAAACAACAAATTTCATAGTTTATTGACTCCACATGCAGTAATATCTATTGGACAGATAACCCATTATTCAGCTCATAATGAGCTTTAATTACCCATAGTCTACTTTAATCTTCTCATTTAATCTAAACCTCAACTCTTTTAACCCAGAGGTGTGATGGCTAAGGCATAAAAAGGAAGTAGCGATGACTGTGAAAAAGAGAGAAACAACACAGTTGAGGGCTGAAAAACAAGAGAAAAAGGAAAAGGAAGAAGACAAGGACAACGCAGAGGTTGTTCTCAATCATCCAGGCAATGTTCTCATCTCAGGTTAGATCAGATTTACAATGAATTCTTACTGTGACCACTTGGAGAGATTTTATATATTGTACACAATGACGTAATCCTTGTCTCGTGGTTTTTTACCCTTCATGTTTGGGGGAAGGTTTCCACATAAATCTTGATGTCCGATTTGATTATGATTTTTGTTTAATTCTGCTATGTGTTACGACCAACTTACATTTATTCGTATACAAAATTCTCTTTTTATTCCATAAATATTTTTTTTAAGCAGTAACAAGAATATGTACTGACAAAAGTATATTTAAAAAAGAATTACGAAAGGGTTAACTTCACAAAACTTTTGAATTTTATTCAATGCAGTGCTCTTTTAACAGTGATGAGGATAGAGAAATATTCTTATCGGGCGACTAATGCACAAGGCTCCCATCAATACCCCCTTGCTAGTAGAGGGGTTGTTTGAGAAAAATATTCTTACAACTAGCAAAGTTGAAAATCTTGCTTAGTGGAATAGCAGGTAAATGAATTAAATAAAAGCATCAATTAATACAAGGATATATTTTCAGAGGATTAAGCTTAAATTTATTCACTTATGGTTCCCCCAGCATGCAGATAAAAAATTTGCTAAGTTGAACTAATTACTAGGAAGTTGTTTTGGTACGTTTGATAGGTAAACCCTGACTACAAAATGACGACAATAATCTATGTCCAGAACAAACATATATCACATAGGCAACCGATATGCAAAAAATTACATATTAGCATGAATTACCACAATTTGTTCTCCTGAATATTTATTTGTAAAATAAAGATGTCCCAGTCTCACATATCTGAGAGACAAGTGGCCAAAATACATAAACATCAAATGTTCACAGAACAAAGAGAGGCATTGGAAATTCATGAAAAACATATACATTGCCAAAAAAATAATCATAGCATTTTTATACATCCTGTAGTGCATTTTGGACTGCATTACTGCATTGACTTAGCTTCCATAAACAGTGATATTGAATTTAGATGCTCGATGCATAATAAAAGTTTAAGACAGGTTCCAAGAGCATACCCGACTGAGGTCATGATCAATGCTAACAGTGGTTTCATGAGTACGTGTAATCTGCTCTCCTTGCTGGTGCAGCATCACAAGTATGTCTGAGGCATCTTCCCTTATGACTTGAGCAATCTTGAGACAATCATTTACTTTGTGTGTTGTTTCTTCAGCCTTGTATGCAGCATAATTTTCTAATTCCTGCACAGATTGGTTCTGTAATCCCTCCTGCATCATGAAAAAAAATCATTCTTATATCTGTTTCTTGCAGCTGCAGAGGTCAAATGTGAATATGACAAGGCCTCTCTTCCTTCATCCTCATCATAGCTAGAAGAAGAGCCTACTGGATTTTTCTTACCAATTACAGGGCCTGAGGAAGATCTTCCAGGTTTAGGATTCATTTCGGGTTCAGAATCTGAATCAAAAGGGTTGGGCTTGGAGATACAGGCATGAGTTGTGCCAGATTTAGGCAATGCAGTGAGGGGTACAGATTGAAGAAACCAAGAATTCCAGTAAACTGTGATCTAAAATTTTTCTACCTAACAAAACAACACAAGGCACATATAGCTTCAAAACATAAGAAGAGGAAATGAAGCACAATAATAACAGATCTTGACTCTGATGCAAAATTAGATATCGGATATCAAAACAATCACAGAAACTACAAAAAAGAATATAAAGAAAGAAAAAATTACAAAGTAGAATATAATACTAAATGAAATTCAAGAAGATCTAAGGCAAAAAAAAAAAAAAAGACAAACAAATGGGGACAAAAAGAGTATACCAAACCACTCCCGCTTCTCTTTTCGCCTTCTTATAAAGAGAAACGATCGAAACGTGAACCAAACCGGAAAGGGCGAGCGAATTTGTCAATCGGGTAGGCGTGAAACCAAATCTGCGGGCATGCTCGAGAAGGTTAAAAAGTAGAAGATGACTCCTTGTCCCGAGTTCGATCTCGTCGAACTAACGGCAAGCAAACTGCTAATTAGAGGCCCAGAACTGGATCGTTCCTTACAAAATGTACACCATCAGAGATCTCTTATCCGGAGAAGCTAAATCCATGCGAGAACAGAGGATCCGCACCGAAGACGAAACGACGGCAAAAATGGTTTCCTGTGTTGTCCTCTTTGCGTTTGCTTGTTCGATTATAAGGATGGGGAGGGGAAGGTTTCTTTTGTTGTTCCCTTCGCGTTTGCTCCTTCGGTTATAAGGATGGGAAGGGGAAGATTTTTTTTATTGTCCTCTTCGCGTTTGCTCATTCATTTATAAGGATGGGGATTGGGAGAATTTGAACGTTTGGCTTATAATACGGACCGGCGAGGAGAAAACTAGGGTGAGTTTTTTTCTTTGTTTTGAAAAAGAAAACTACAAAAAAACTCTCATGCTCCTTTTATTATTTATCAAACAATATTCTTTCAATTGAAATCTTGTTTAATTGTTGGTTTTTGAATGACCCGATACTTGGCTTCTATCATTCAAGAAAAAAAATACTATTTAGTCCAAAAATCGGGGGTGATGCGTCCTCAGGGGTCAACGCTGACTACTTAAAAGAGCAGTGAACAACGGACTAGTCAACGAGATACGAGGCCTTCAAGTGACACGTCCATATGTCAACGCAACGAAGAAGGTATCCTTCTGCTTGCAAAAGAGTCAAAACTCCGAGAAGATGGAAATCTAGCTTTCATGGGCTTCAGCTGGAATAAGTTCTGGCAGCTGCAACAGCAAATTTCCTTTTAAGAACTCCAGAGTGTTGCATTCAATCTTGCAGACCTAACAATATGTGGGCTGCAAAACCTAAAAGATCTAGGAAGAGTAAATCTCACGACAACATGGCTGCACAAATCTAAAAACCCAAGTCGTGTAGTGGCCCATTTCTGCTAATGAATATTACCCGCCATTAATAGTTCAGTCTCTCATCATATAAGAAACAACAAACAAATTTCAGATAAGAAGGACATCAAACAGTAAAGAAACCATTAGATCGACAATAATACATTCCATAATTCGAAAAGGAGTGTTTCCTCGTTTACCAGATTCCTATTAGCCTTTCTAGTGTTATCAGAGAGAGCGTAAAGGAGGTTCACTCCATTGTTGAAGTACCTGCCCCTCACATCAAACACTCTTCTTTACAAGCAAGCAGGCAGGACTGCCTGATTCCATAATTTACAAGGATAGGTGCAAATCCTAAACCAATCAGCATACACCTATGGTGAAGAAAGGGAGAAAATACCCAAGAGTAATCGTACCGACTTAAATCATGACAGTCAGCATTCTTTTCCAAATACCTCCTCTATCACATTACATGTTGGTAAGAGGTCATCTTTCTCTGATTCACAGCAATAACTTGTATCCCATGCTTTTGGATCACACAGACTGTCAAAGAACCCATTATCCATCAACCCACTTAGATTACCATTCTGGTACTCTTTGCGGAAGTTCTCATGATCTTCATTCAAGCTGTGTTGCGAGTCAAATATATCGACAGGATTACAGGAATCAGCCCCATTACGCTGGCCCTCGTAGGATGTGCATGAATCATCCTGCATGTCTTGTTCCTCCACACAATGGTGCAAATTGCTTCCTGTAAACTGCATTCCAGGAGGAAGGCTCGGATCACTACCAATGCATCCTTTCACATCACCGCAGGTCCTTTTTTCATTGTTCCTGGCAAGGGTGTAACAATTACAATCCTCTACATCATCAGCTTCTTCAGTTATGTCCTCTTCCACAATATCATCTTCCTCACCAGGAACATTGTCTTGATCTGCAAGAGACTCCACCACAGAATCTTCTTCGTCTTCATCTTCTGCCATTGTGAATTCACCATCATCATTTTCTTGCCATTCATCATCATCACTATCTACGTGCAAAGGGTCCAACCTATTCTGTTCAGCCCTCTTCCGAAGCATGAATACGTTGAAGTAGTAACTTACTAGTTCTTTGCTATTTCGAGCAGGAAACACCCTAGGCAATATATCCCAAAAGTTCTTGCCCGCCGAAGCAGGATTCGACAACACAATTTCATGAAATAACTGTTGCTCCTCTTCAGTCCATCCTTCAGCTACAACCTCACCCATATCAGCAAAACCAAACTCTAAAAACCTATCCTGCCCCAAATTGCGCCTGAGCTTTTCTCTCGTTTCCACAACATGCTGCCTCACACATCTGATTGAAGCCTCATCTAGGCATCCACAATTCATCTCGTAGTGCAAGCCCACAGAATCTGAAGCCAATAAAGCACAATCAGGCATGGGCATTACACATGTTCCATTCCATTTATCACTGTCATCTTCATCAATTATATGATCATCACATAATGGTGAACTTCCAGGAAAAGCACAATCTTCATGATCCCCAATATGGTTCTTAAATTCATAAAATCTCCACTCTGGAACATCAGCCTGATGATTTGATCCAATAGCAATATGTTTCTGATCGAAGTAACCAAAAACGGGCGAATAAATCTCTTCAACCTGATCAAATTCAGCAGCTTGACGGATATCACCATAACAAAATGGATAGGAAGGTACCCGAACAGGTGGGTCTAAACCAGCTTCTCTGCTACTACTCTGTGCAAACCAGTGGCTGGTGGTTGTCTGATCAATAGCATCCTCAGCAACAGCAGCAGTTCCTCCATCTTTCAAGTCCTCAGCGGTGACTAGAAACATGTTATTATAATCAGTCAAAATCTTTTAATCTGCTTGAGAATATTACATATTATTTGATTAAAGAATGAAAACAATTAAGTCCTACGACTACCTGAGAGTGATTTCTTAGAGTTACTGAAGCAAACATCTTCAGATGAACCCAATTGAAAATTTTGGTCCACTCGCTTCAAACGCTTACTTGCACAAAGGCAAGTTTCATCATCACAAAGAGACCGTTTGCCATTCTCTAACCAGATAACTTCACTGTTGTTGCCTGTCACCCGTGAGAAGCTAGGTTTGCCACTGAGATTACTGTAAGAGTTGTCAGAGGGAGGATCAGCAATCACATTCTCAAAGTCTATGTGGTAGCTGGAGAAACCCCTCTCTTGATCTTTACATCAGAAAAAGAAAAAAAATAAGGAAATATATACTAATAACTCCCTGTAACTTCAGACTAAATGTTTCCTTCAGTTACCTGAAACAGGTGATTTTGCAGGAATGTCCTCACATGTAGAGCCTTCAGCAAATGGCCTCACGTGTAGTTGGCCATCATAAGACAAATGTCTTACGTGTTCACAATTAAATTGGTCAGATGTGTGATCGGCAAAAGACTGTTCATTTTGGTTGAACACCATATATAACCTGCAAAGGTAACAAGCAAAATAAATTCACATGGAATGCCAACAAGTGAAATAACTTAAGAAAACAACAATTTGTATGACAATGAAAATGACCCAGGAAGACTTAAAGATAAAGAAACATTTCTTTGTTTGTAAAGGAAAGCAGTGAATTTGGACATTGACAAAGAGCCTCATGCATGATTTGAATTATTCTAATAGATGACTGTTCCACACAAGCTGAACCTAACCAAAAAATAATCTGGTCAGAGTACAGTGCATATGAAATCATCCCAAATTTCCATCCATAATCTACCTAAACAACTTCCAAGATTGCATTACAAAAAACAAACACTGCTCATCAATTCCAGAGGCCGTCAAAAAGGCCCCAAAAGGCAAAATAGTCAGAAAGAGAAATACCATTGATCAAAGCTAAAACAGAAAGAATCAAGAGCAATAAAATAATAAATGTGAAGCCCGCCATGAGAAATAATGAAACGCAAAGGGAAAAGACAAGTGTTTAATATGAAGCAAGTATAACATACATGGTGAAGAGATGCTTATTCAAGTTCTTCAGCATAGGAGAGCAGATTTCAAGCTCCTCGCCTCATCCCCCAACCATCCCACCAAGTCCCAACACCCCAACCCAAGAAAAAGAATTGAAAAAAAGGCCCAAAGATTAAACACAAAAACCCAAAATATAGTGAACTTAACAAAAAAGACTGTCATTATTATGAAAAGGATTAGCCATCTGGTTTTTTTTTTTTTTCTAACTTCATATTAAATTCTGTACCACAGAGTGTTTCCTCCATGTCAATAAATAGTTCAACACCTGCTAACACTATGATCATGCAGGATCAATATAGAAACTATCTATGCAGAGAAACACTTGATATCAAAAAGGCTAGTTTCACTAAGAACGTTATGTTAAAAAATGAAATTAAATACCATGATATACTGATTGCACCAGTCCAATCCAGTATTAGTACACAAATGTCCCAATAAATTTTGAATATTTCAGTTATTTTTTCAGCAATGTACCAAATGGTACATACTGTAGCAGCTGGTACATATCAGTCTGACAAGTTTTTCGTATTCAGCAACAATAAACATGTCAAAGGCGCAAGAAAAATCTTAAGCTTTGCATTGTACTTTTCTCCTGTTAATAAAATAACTATTTTTTAAAATCTAAAATGGTGAATAAGTAAGCTTCCATTAAAGTAAAGCATATTGACATATAACAATAGGGAAAACCAATTTGCAAGAACATCTGTATTTTCCATATTAAGTACGAAAAATAAATACTAAATAATGCATAACTCATCACCCTCTTTAATCAACTTTGTCGAGAACAAAAATGTAAATTTATCAAGATAAGAAACCAGGAACGATTCTCTTAGAAAATAACTAAAAACATAACACACTCAGCTGCACTGTGTGACTGCTATTTACCTTTAAAGCAGTCCAAAAAGATCTAGTGCGCCCTGGAGCAGCAGTAAACCAACAAAGTAATTGAATTGATGTATTACAAAGGATTATGGCAATTAAGAGGACACGATATAGAAAAAGATGTTTTAGCCTACCAACAAGCTGACACTCCCCAATTTCACCGGGTTTAAAAGTGCTAACCCTATAGCCTAATTTCGCCCATAGACTAAGACTGACCAAGTCAAAACGGCCAATTAGACAGACGCACGAGAATTGCACGAAGAAATCGGAAGAATCTCGGAACTTACATACCCAAATACCAAAGACCAGCCAGCGACCTAAGAAGTAAAGAAAACACTAAATCTACAGAGGGGAAACGCCGCAAAATAGAGAACAAAAGTATGTAGGAAAATATTTAGGAATCGGGATTTAGCCACCAAAATGATCGAGAACCCGTATGAAACCCTAACCCTAGATTCGATCTTCCTGTCTAAAGAACGAATCAGGATGAATCAGAATGGGGAAACCGCAGCAGATCGATTCAAGAACCTCTCGATGCAACAGATGCAGAGATCGTGATCGGAAACGAGGAGAAAACAAGGCACGGAAATCCTAACCCTAGAAGCGACCACAAGCTTCCAAGGGCAGAGAAATCGGTACCAATACAGAGCGGAGGACGAGGCCGGAAGCTGGCAAGGGGTCGATTCGTGGATTTGCAGGAGGAATTGGAGGACATCTGGATCGAAGTCGGTGAATTTGGCAGCGAAAACGCCAAACGGGGGCAAATGGCTTGCGTCCGTCACTTTTGTTACTACGACGACTACTACTACTATTATTATTATTATTGTATTTTTTGGTGTCGAGTGTTAGTGTGTCGTGCCGTCTATTAAAGATGTGTTAAGCCGTATTAATTACCCATAATAACCTCGTACAAATTAAGAGGACAAATTAGTTCGTTGACGAGTAGTCCAAACGACACTGAGAATTTCGCATAAGACAATATATTCGAAAAAAAGGAGTATTTCAGGAAAATGACATATCATATTATTAATTAATTTGATATAATTGGAATTATTGACGGAATGGAAGCTAATAAATATTCGTGTGATAGAATGATGAGCTGATGTGAGACTGAGGTTTATAGGGAAAATAAAAGATATTTGTTGGCTTGAAACGTAGCAGCTCTATTTTGTAAAAGAATTAAGTGTAAAATCTAATAAACATGATACTATGATAAAGAACTAATACCGGTGAGAAATCATCGGCAAGAGTCTCATAATATGCATTCTGCATGTAGAAATAAAAAACACATGATGCACAGTGTAAAAGATTTTACAAATGCAAAAGAATGATTTCCATTTTGCGTCCTTTTTTTCTTTTCTTCTTAAGGCGTTGCATGAGTTTGTGACGTCAAAAGTCGGGAAAGAGAACAAGTTAGGCAGGGAGTCGGCAATAGCCAAGCAACACCATTGATTTCTTGGTGACAGGTGAAGATGAACAGGGGAAGTCGAATAAAAGAGTACCAGAGATTAGAACAGACATATATATATATATATATATATATATATATGTATTGTCCTTCTTCGGACAACTTAAACCAGTTCCTTTAAGCAGATGGACAGCCTGCTTGTTAATCAATGTTGATAATTTCTTGGTGGAAGAATAAGATTTACTCATTCTAATTATTGCTTATTTTTCATTTTTTTCATATATATAGTCTTTGCTTATTGTTTTACAATTATAAGCTAAGATATCTATTAGAAAACAGACAGAGATCAACTTCTCCAAACACACAACATCAAATTGTATGCCACCAAGAAATTATGGCTCCCAAACTGTATTCCAAGTTGCCCAGATGGGGTCTTGATTCAAACTCAAACCAAGTTAGATATCTTGGACATAAAATGCATAGTTGCATGTCCAAAGTGAGTTTATACAAAACCCAATTCAGGCTGCACATAAGCAGATTTATATTTTTCCAGCCACATAGGCTAGGCAAAATGGAAGTTGGCCAAACAGTGTAAAATTATTATATAAGCTCATCAATAAATTTTCAGCAATTCAATCACTGTACTTTTTTGCAAACATGGACAGCGCTTCTTATATCATTTTTTAGCATAAACAAAACCACATGACCATGGAAACTGGATATGGAGCCAGATGCCAATAAAGAAGACATGACAATGGAGCAGTTTTGTTATCTCAGTATTATTAATTTTCACCAAGCCAATTAAACTAGATATTAGAAAATGTACAGTGTTGCCTAAGAGTATCAGCATTGAGTCTTCTCAACAAAAATGATCGCTAGAATCTTACTAAACTGATGTTAAGTTATTGTTTGTAAACTCTAACACCTCCAAAACGTCATGGGAATGGCCATTTGAAGATCAACTGATGTGATCGCTTTCATGGGAATGGCCAATGTTGCTAACAAAGACATCATAAACAGTACATCAACAAGTTGTGATTAAAGAAAAGTGAACCATTGCTTGTGCCCATAAGAAGCTTTAGGTTGAGAAGGATTACCATGATCTTGAGAAATATGTCACAACTGGCTGATCTAGCACACATCTATAAGGACAATGCCTTGGAGCCCAACCCCTTCTGGCCCTTTGATGTGTAGCACATGCTTCAGTTGTAACTCAAGTTGTGACATTGCAGCAAACCTGAGCTGAAGCCTGCACATAACCAAGAGTATATCAGCTGTACTACAAAAATCATGCAAGTCTAAGTTCCTTATCAGCACTAGCTTAAAATGACTACAAACAATCAGCTGTAGACAATACTCTGCCTCTAGTTTATTTTAACTCAAGTTCCAAAATATTGAGTATCATCTCTCATTTACATTCCACAATTTGATTTGACGCTTATACTTTTTTACATTCAACAGCAAATGTAGCTCAGATGTATTTCCAATCAAGCATGTCCAGAAGCCACAGGACTTCATTCTCAGAGTTTGCAGCATCACAGAAGTCTATCTCAATGCCAAAGACATCGGTGATACTGTGAGCGGTGTTCGCCATGAATAACAAGGAAACCCAAGCCCTGATTCCGGATATGAATGGATGTCCTGGTGCAAAGATTAGGTAGTCGTAAGCCAGTGCACGAAATGCATTACCATCAACATATCCAAAGAGGGATTGATTTACAATCCGTGCTATCTGATTTGTGTCTTTGCGACTCACAAGAACAGACACAATGATCGTCTGCCCAAGTGGAAAAGAAAATCTTGGCTCAACTTGCATTATCATCTTGTAATCTGTACTGTCCAGATGAATCTTGAGTGCATCAGGTATTCCTGGAGGTGGATTCTTTAACCCTCTCCGGAGCACAGTGCCTGAGACAGCTTCAGAAAATATCAGAGTCTGTTCAGACCAAAGGTCAATAAAGAATTCCAAATTGTTGAAGGAAAGCCTTGATGGAGGAAGGGGCTGAGGGGGTTGGGATCTAGAAAAAGTCAAAAAGAGCTTGTGGTAACTTATGGCTGGAGGAGGTCTTTTGCAAATGGAAGGCCACTTCTTGGTGCAGATGCACTTCCAGAAGTAGTCATCCCTGGCAGTGTCTCTCCACTGACGACTTACAAGCATGCATGAAACTAGATCTTCACCATCAAGCAGAGTGAACACTGCCTTCAAAACTTCAGCAGATATCAAATCTTTGGCCATTGTTGACTGCCAAAAGATAATTCAACAGAAAAGAAAAGGAAGCAAAGGCTCCAAATCAGTTTCTAAGTTTTCTGTCGTTAAGCAGAAAATGGTGTACCAAAGCAGAACTTTACCTGCAAAATAAAAAAAGATTATGTTATTCCAAAATCCTATCACAGGTGAGTTTCTCTAGGCCAACTGCAAAACTGAGTACAAAACATGGTGGCACCAAGAACAACTGTGCTTTACAAAATTCCTCATTCAATCACAAAAGACTTAAGAAATCATAAGGACGAAAGGTAAAATTTTGATTCTACCAGAAACCACTTCATTAATGTCAAAGCCTATGATTTTCTTTTTCTTATAAAAGAAGAGGTGACAACTCCTATTGTGAAACTTCCAAAGAATAATTAGCTAAATAAAAGAGGGGGATGAAAGAAACAGTAACACCTTCCCTAACTTATTACACTTCTTCTATTGTTACACCCGTTAGGATCTAACTCGCCAAGATTAGTAGCACATCAACTTAAGCTACTGAAGAATTCTCTCATTGCTGAGGTTAAGGTTTGAAATAACTTAAATCAATATGGTTGATCTGGCTGACATCCATAAACTTAGCACACAGTTTGAACCATAGAAGTACACAACTTTAATGACAGAACTTATGATTACAAACTTTGTGCACAATAGAGGCACTTGTGTTATATTCTGTAAGATTTATGTTAGAGTCGTGTGGATCCAACTTAATCTCATGTAGGTCTAATGTATATCATTATAGACCCATACTTCATCTAGTCCAAAATTTTTAAATATAAAATGCTTTATTCATGTCTACATCTTGCAAACCAAAAATTAAATGAGAAATTTAAGGAAAATTACACCTTGAATATAGATAGATTGTTCTGAAATAGAGCTCTACCTATAAAGAAGGAATAGAGAGATTCTTAGTGCCTTTGGTTGAAATTCAGGCTTGAAAATTCTATGAATCAGAGAGAAATGAAGTAAAAGAGGTCAATTGTTGAGGTCAACTATAGTTTTTCATAAGTATATATTATGAAAATTCTAGTGCTAAGTAGTAGGTCAAGATGATGTAAGTTTAGTATTACCTTAATTTTGATATAATATGGTTTTAGTGTTAGCTATAGGTCAAGCCAATTTGCAATTAGTCATTTGCAGTTTTTGTATAAGAGTGGGAACAGTATTCACCCAAAGATATTATACAGTGCTCAGCTGATTAGTTTAGGCATTATTTAGACAAATTTTACTTCTTTTAGTTAGTAAGGACTCTATTAGGTAGATTATTATATAGTTGATGTAAACACATCCCCAGACACTTGGATTAGTTTGAGAAAACTGGCATGAGATACTCTAACCCATCTCTCTCTAGGTTTCACCCACACTACATTGTTGTTTATCCATCTCCTCTTCCTTTCTCTTATTTTCTGAATTATTTCTCTAGCTTGCATTTGGTTACAGTGGAATAAAGACCCTTTAATCTGCTGAGATCCATCTCAAAAACAAGTGGAAATTGCTGTGATAACATTGCAGCAGCAATCTGATTGCTGTGTTGACAATATAACTGATATGAAATTGAAGATTAACAGTTCTTGAGCACATCAAAGACGTCCTTTACTGGTGGTTTTCAATGCTATTTCGATGCTGTTTCATCCACACGTCAAGTAATCTGAAATGGTCAAGACCTAGAAGAAAATATCTATTCTACAAGGATACTAGATCATGCCACACTCAAACTACCCATTTATATTATGCTACCAACACCAGCTTGTACCATATATCAATACAAAGTCAAAAAAATCAGTGCATGCAGCATTAGAATTCATGACAAAAAGTAATTTCTTGGTTTTTGGTAGTGAATAAATAGAATTTAAAAGAACATTAAGAACCCATGAGAAATCTCCGAAGCAATGAAGTATTTAGAATGAATCATGTTAAAGAAAGTAAATTATTAAATACCAAACAATATAGAACTTGTAGTCAATCTATCAGCATCAATGGATTAAAGAACTAGGTGAAAAACAGGGTCCATTCTCTTAATATAATGACAACTTGCTCTGAAAGAAACAATACTGAGTCTTCTCTACATGTCAAGAGTCTAGACCCAAAGGTCAAGTGACAATAGTTCACAAGTTCATGCTAACATAAATTTAGGAAACATAAAATATAGGTAAAAGATCAAAAGTAAAAACTCTTCATGGTCAATGACTCAATGTTAAAGTTACAATCATGCATGAGGGCCACAACTCTTTACAAACCAGTCCAGAAAAGTAAATTTCTGACAGAAATTCTGGAGACATAATTGTCGACTAGAAACAGCAAAAAAGATCTTTTCTCAAGGTCACATGATGATAATATCCAAAATTCACCCTTAATCTCATGATTTGTGCATCAATAACTGTTTTATAAAATCCTATAGTATCAATCCCAGATTTCTCAACTGAAAAATAAAAAAAATACAAAAAAGCCCAATCTAAAATGATATCATTTACCAGATCTTGATTTCATTGTCTCCTACAACGCAGATATAAAATAAAAGCCCGTTTTAGCCTCGTTTATCCTACAATCTTGTGCATTACCAGTTGAGTTGTCCAAGTCTGAGTAGTAACCAAAATACAAACATATAAAAACAGAGATCAAGAAAAAAAAAACTTCAAATTAACTCATATGATGTTAACAGATGCCATAATGAACAGAAAAATTAGCAATATAAGTTTCGTAATTTCCAGTACTCTGAACTACGAATAAACTTCGTACAAATCAGACAAACAGATAGATCAAAAAAGAAAAAAAGGGGAGAGACAAGATGCGAGAAGACTAATAAATTTACCAAACTCAATCACCAGATATGTTAAAAACTCCCAAAGCGCCTCCGAAATCTCAGCAGGAGCATGCTTGATAACCTAACAGATGACCCCAGCGGGAAAGAATGGAGCACAGGGGAGTACCAAGGAACTCGCCACGCCCATCGATCGGTTGGGGGAAGAAGAGGCTCGAGTCCTTCGAATCGGCAGGGGGAGCGAGTGGATCTGAGACAGGCAATTGCGGTGGCGACGGAGGAAAGAGATCGTTGTGAAGCAAAAGAGACGGCGAGCGTTAAATCGGGCTGAGACAATGCTGTTGGCGACTCGTCGGGAGAAATCAATAGCAACTCAATATATAATTGACATTTAAATAAGTAGCATTCGGAAATACCCAACTTACCAATCCCATACTTATCCGTCCCGTTATAGTGGGTCCCATTTGGGGGCTCGTGTAAGACCAATTAAAACGAGGGTAAGTTGGAATGTTGAAAATAAATAACTTGAAGAAGCAGCATAAATATTAAAATGCCCATCTCCACCCTGACGGTCCTCGTCTGGTGGTAGGTACTGGTGGGTTCCACGATCGGCGTTTCACTTCTCCAATTGTCGCGAGGGTAAGGTTACGGTAAGAATAAAGTATTCAATGAAACGAAGCTTTTTGATTATGTTCCCACTGGGTTGGACGGATGGCCCAGAAGATCACGATCGTCTGATTTTGATCTGATGGCAATGTGTAATAATTCGTTCTTGAAGAGAGCTCAAGCTACGCTTTCGCTGCTGGAGGCGTGGAGGAGGACGACAAAGCCCCGCCTTTCGCCATCCAAATCGAAGAAGAGCCCGAGACTGTTCGGCCGGAACCTTCCCTCCTATCCAAGAATCTACGGCGGGCAACTTCGGAAGAATCTCCGGTCAGGGGTGACCGTCATCACCGGCAAATCCACGGTGCGTTTTCTGTCCCTATATTCCCGAAGCAATTCAGCGATCGATGATTCCAACTTCAGCTTCCTACAGTTTCTAGGGTAATTAGGGTCAATGCGACACGATCTTTTCCCCACAGAGAAGAAACTTTAGGTATAGGCTAGTTCGATCAACTGTCCGGATGAGAGCAGGAAAACAGATTCGTATTTAGTCGTTAATTTTGTTGGATAATTTATACATGTTTTCTTTGATTTACATCTGAATGGAAACGTATTCCTGTTCTTCTAGATGTTAAACTCGGTTGCTCGATCCCGTAAATTAAAGGACTTCAATTGGAAACCATCAATGGCACGGAAAATATCTGTTGTTCGCAGTTGAAACATCACTTCGATACCTCTTTCATTCCTAAAGATATGCTCAGTAAGTGTATTCAACATGAGTTTGAAGGATATATTTCTGATGAAACGGAATATTATTGTCGTTCCTGTAAAGAAAGGGAGGGATTATATACAAGTGTAACTGTTTCTCAAATAGTAATAATAAGATGTTGTTAGCCTAAGATCAAATTAAAAGAATAAACAAGGCAGAAAGGAAAAACTATATTGAACTTCTCAAAAAGAAAAATACTTATAAATCTTGAACGACTCTTAGACTTCAGCCTTATAGGCTTAAATACTTAAGGCTTGCATGGATCTACATATGTAAATGCCACTTAGAAATCTTTAAAAATTGTTCAATACTTACATTTCTGTGAATTTTTTTTTCTTATTAAGATCCTAACTTATTTATTAAAAAACAAAGAAGTCTACATATTATTGTTCTTCTATAAGTGGATGATCTGATTATCACTGGTAACGATGAAATAGAAATTTTAAAGTTTCGTTGTGATCTTTCTCTTTGATTTGAAATAAAAGTCTTGGGAGAGCTTAATATTTTTCTTGGTCTAGAGGTGATGAATACAAAATAAGGTATATTTATCTCTCAAACAAGTTATGCAAAGAAAATTATTGAAAGGTTTAGAATTAATAAAAATAAGAAGGTTTCCACTTTACTTGATACAAATATAAAGTTAAGTTGTACTGATGGGAGTATTCTTTCTGACTCTCGATCTTTTCATGCTGTTATTGATAGTCTCATCTACTTAACAATTACAAAACCAGATAGATATTGCATTTTTAGTTGGTCTTATAAATTTTTTTATCCAATCTCTAACAGTGATTTAAAAAGGCGCTCGGGCGCTTGCCTAGGTGCTCGGGCGAGGCGAGGCAAGGCCTGAGCGCCTCGCTTCATTTCCAGGTGGTGCGCTTCAAAGAGGCGCCGCCTAGGCGCTCGCCCGAGCCCAGTCGCCGGGCGCTTCGGGCGAGCGCCGCCTAGGCACAACTTCCCCAACCCTAACCCTGCTCATTGCCGCTGCTCGCTGTTGTCGCTACCGCTGCCACTGTTGCCACTCGCCGCTCTCGCTGTGTTAGAACCCTTGTAGATTCTAAACTTGGGGTTGATCTCTTTAGGGGATCGGCCTCCATGGAACTCTATAGGGGTTCCTCCCTCCAAGTTGCTGCTCAAAGGCTGCAGAAAAGATTCATCTATTGCTTATGAAAAGAGAAGGAATACATGGCTATTTATAGGGCTTCTAAACCCTAACTCCTAATAGGACTCCTACTTAAGACTCTTACTTCTAACCAACTCCTAATAGGACTCCTACTCAAGACTCCTATTCCCTTACAACTCCTAATTC